GCATATGGTTATAAGCTATACTTGGTTGAACTGTGTTCATTTGATTTGAGTTTGCTGAATTGTTTCAATTTATGTTTTTGTGATCCTCATTAGCTATTTGATCTGGTCTGCTGGCAGTGCAGTGCAACTTATTTTCTTTTGCACCCAGTTTTTTTTCATGTTTTTTTATTTATCATTCGACTAGAGGAAGTATAAGCATGCTCTGTTGTTGCCACTCTTTGTGGCCCTTAAACTAGGCGACCCCTAGTTACGGTACCTAGGTAAAGCATTAATGAGTCAGATCATATGCGACTAAACCAAGGCAGAAATAACCACAAAGATGATGGAATCCCCTGGTTAGTATGAACATAAAATATGCAACTAATTCACTAACCTTCAACTTGGGTCAGCTTCAGTTAAGTAGTTTGGTGTGGAGGAACAGCAGATGGCGAGCACAGAGCAATGCTTATGCATACTGTCTCTAGAAAAAACATACAGAAGCATGGAAATAACTCAAGTGCTTAAGATATTAGTTTATGTTTTAATAGCTCTGATTTCTTTGGTGAAAAAACGTACGACGATCCTATGTTTTCTTTTCAGGATGGAATCATGGTGCACACATGAAGTTGAAGCTTGTAGCGAATTACACAGATCAATTTACCTATAACAGTTAACCCTGTACCTGACTGTTGTTTCTTCAGTCAAATGCCTGTGAAATGCTCCATTCAGAATCAAAATACAACTCTATAATTTTTCCTTTATTGTTTTTTTTAAGAGTAAATGCTGTCTACACCACTAGGGAATTTAATTTAACAAGGAAAACTGATAAGTAAGATGGAGCAAAACATGTCAAAGACCATGTTATTGTATATGCTTGTTCAGGTTCCATTGGACATTGTTTTTAGGAATGTAATTTCTTCTCTTTTTTTTTCTTTTTTTTTTTCCTTTAACCCTTTTTGTCTTGAACAAGGCATTATGTTTTTAGGCCCCTATATGTAGGCCTTAATTGTAAAAAAGGAAAAAAAAAAAAGGGTTTCTCTCATTGGTTGTTTGCCTCCAGTAATGTATAATTATTTGATCCAGATGATTTTATGCGAATGGTGAACGTTGCCAGTCTCTTGGTTTATTTCATCTTAAAAATCAATCACAAAAACAACATTTGATTTATTTCATCAATTTTTGACCAACTGCAGTGGTACAGAATGCAAGACCTGTGCCAATAATGTTTGTTCTGTAAGGGCTAAAATTACTTAACCGAAAGTCCTGCTGATGGTGTTTGACCGAAAAAATTTAAAATTGCTTCTAAGTCACACAAGTGCTAGGTGCTTCTCCATATAGTACGTCCAATTGCTTTTTGAAAAAGCACTTAAATTTATAACAAAAAATTCAACATATTTTAGAAGTAAAAATAAATAAAACTGAGCATAAGTACTTCTTTATAAGCACTTAAATTTATAACAAAAAATTCAACATATTTTAGAAGTAAAAATAAATAAAACTGAGCATAAGTACTTCATAAAGAAGCATTCTCAATGAGTAACCGAAGCACGTAATAACAAAACAAAATATGTAACACTGAAATGACCAATAGGTAAACTTGTAACAAGCTTTTCCACTTGATGATCACATTTTACGTCTTAATTTATATTCCTAAAATATATTTATTAATCCTTTTCATTTGATAAATTCAGTTTGTTTTGATGAAATTTAAGAGCTAGAATTGGTGCCCATGTGGGGAATAGGCAGTTGTAGGCTCGTAAAAGAGAATAAAGCAGGGACAAGAGGACGATAACGCAGGGATTGGCATAACAAAAGGGAAGTGCGATTTACTTGGTGATGGGCGGGCTGGGCATAAAAATTGAATAAACAAGTGAAGTGAAACGGCCGCCCATCCTACTAGCTTTGATCTCCAGCCTATAAATAGAGTGTTGCGGCATTGTTCAAAACCACCTCGGGGCGGGAGCTCCCAACTTCTCAAGAGCTCTCTCTCCCTTCTCACTTGTTTTTCGAACTCTGTCATTTTCTTTACATTGCTCTCGACACTCGGACTTCCGAGTTTACAATGGTCAACCTATTGCAATTAATGTTGACCAAAAAAAAAAAAAACCTATTGCAATTAATTTCATAAGGTTATTATTATTAGTTTTTCCATTTTCTTTGAAAGAAAAAGCAAAAGTTGGCTATACTCACTAAAGGCTAGGTCTATAGGTTCTTGGGCAGAGATGACTCATACATTTTTCAATAAATATTTTCCTAATCATAAGACAATTGTTCTGTAGAAAAGAAAATGAAAGGGGGGGTTTCATTTTCTTAATTGTTTCTAAACCACTGATAGTGGATACACCCCGTGTAATTTTCTTTTTGAGAAAAAAAATTGAGATTCTTTTCTTCAGAATAATTGTCTTATGATTAGGAAAGTATTTATTGAAAAATGTCTTGAGTCACCTATGCCCAAGAACCTATAGACCTAGCCCTTATGAGTATAGCCAACTTTTTGGTTTTTCTTTCAAAGAAAATGGAAAAAATAGAAATAAAAAAACCTTGTGAAATTAATTGTAAAAGGGGCTTATAGCTTCTTCAAATTCTCTAAGGAGTTTCATTTTCCATGCCATGAAAAATAGTTAACAATTGAATCATTCCATGTTTAAACTGTTATGCGGGCATGTTAGGTGGAAACATGATACATGAAGGATTGGGTGCACGACTAGGATGCAAATAAGTCTCTAATAAAGTTCTAGGTGGAGCTACTTCTTCATTATTAACAACCTCAAACTCATTAACATTTTCTGCCATGAAGAACAACAAGATATATCATCGACAAGACAATTAAAGACGTTCTCATACACATTTAGCATCTAGCGTTTCTTTAATATAGTACTTGATTTACAAAGTTTTCCAAGTTTGAGGATGAAGAACCATGTGGACTAGCGGCTTCTTCTGCTAGTTTCTTCCACTCCATGACCTTGTTTTTCATTTGCTTACCTTTCTCTCCTTTCATTAACTCTCTAACAAGCTTTTCCACCTGGTCTCTCTTGACATCATTACTAATCTCCATGCCAATTCCCCACACATTACAAACACAATAACAATTTGTTTGCTGGTCCGTAAAGACGGGCAAGGAGAGCATAGGCACTCCTGCACATAGGCTCTCAATGGTTGAATTCCAACCACTATGTGTTAAAAATCCTCCAACTGATGAGTGCTCAAGGACTTGCTCTTGTGGGCACCAACTTGCTATAAGGCCTCTTTCCTTAGTTTCAGCCTCAAACTCGGGTGGAAAAATTGCCGATTTACCAACAACCAGATCAGGCCTAATTACCCAAAAGAAGGGAAGCTTGCTGTTTGCCAGTCCCCAACCAAACTCCACAAGTTGTTCCGGTGTTAAGACCGCCAAACTTCCAAAATTGACATAAACAACAGAGTTCGGTTCTTTAGAATTTAGCCATTTGATGCACTCGGTTTCTTCCTTCCATAGACTATATCCCATGTCCTTCAAAGGGTACTCCGGTATCTGGTTAAGAAGTAGTTGGAGAGGGCCAATTGCATAAACAAGTGGAAACATGGATGAGAGAGCATCCAAAACTTCTTGCTCCAATGCATTAAATGAATGAAGAACAATTGCTGAACCTTTATCGAATTTTGTGATTGCTTCAATGGTGAAGATCCAAGATATGGCATTGGGATCTGTTGTAATAAAGTTGTTTGGGAGATCCCTTAACCTGATATCTTTCATTGCTGGAATCCAATCTATGATCTTGTCCAGAAAACCATTTGTTAAGAAGCTTTCATCTGCAAATACCCAAGTGAAGAAAAGAAAGCTTTTATTCACTATTGGTTCAATGACTTTCTCTGTCACATGTCCTCAACAATAATGAGAAGAAGAAAAGAAAAAAAAACACAAAATTTCCAATCAAATTTGGAAGTTGTACTTGTAACACAGTTTGATTTGGTACTTGTAGTTTTAATAAGTTCGGTTTGGTATCTATTATTATAGTTCATGTACTAAGTTAGGACACATGTTAAAATTCAAGTACCAAAAAACAAAAGTAAAAAAGCCAAGAAAATCTTCATTTGTTTACCTTTGAGAGGGGCAAGTCCTTTTTCCACCAAAGTGGGAAACTGTGTAAATCCCATGAAGCTGCTTGCAGAAATAGTGAAGAAGAGCACCACAGGAATTCCGATTTCTTCAGCTGCTGTGATGGTGAAGGCCATCCAACCATCCGAAACGATGTGAGACACTGGAGGAATGTTGGCCGTGTGATTGAGTTTCTTGAGGAGGCCATGAAATGGAGCTAGAAATGTTTTTCTGACTGAGTCAGCAAGCAAAAGAAGGTCTTGAGTGGTATCTTCATCTGAGCTGTGAAGGCTATCTGGTATGGTTTCGAATCGAAAACCAGGCAAGCCGTCGAGGGAATTGGACCCTAGAGACTTAAGGAACCTCTTGTGATTGAACTCTGTGTTGACAAAGGTTATATGAACACCTCTATGGTGGAGGAGTTTTGCAAACTTAAGCATTCCTTTTATATGGCTTTGAACTGGAAAAGGAAGGCAAACAACATGAGGCCTGTTAGCTACTTCCTTAGAACCCATCTCTCAATATTTGTTGTGTGTATTTTTCTGTGTTTTGCACTCTCAGAAATGCACTGTTTTTATATGGTTGGCAACAATTTTTTGTTTTGTTTTTGTGCGGCTGTATCATGACAATGAGTCCTACAAAGGAGTCAGGCATATACAATTGAAAATGAATATTATTAAAATGATTGGTGCAGTTTTATATTACATTGTCATATATGATATATTTTTGTATGGCTGTTTAAATTAAAAGACGAATAGGAGAGGGTTTATGCAACAAGCAGTCTGAGACAGAGCTGTCTTTGCTATGCAGACGGAGCTTTTCTTGCTGTAACTTTGGAGGGCATGGATCCAAGGTGACACCAAATTGTGTCCAAACGAAAACAGCAAACTTTGTAGTGTCCAAATAATTGGAACTATGTCTAGTCCAATCCCATAGGCTAGTATCACCCTTTCGACTTATTTCCTCTAATATGTGGAATTGTTGTCCAATTTAATGAATCCAACCTCATTTATAGCTTGGGACATGAATAACATTACTTGAGGGATCCGTCAATCAAAACGGGACTCAATATATATAATTATTTATCATGATGTTAATGTCCCGTCTTTGGTTCGAATGTGTCTGCCAGTTGCCTAACCCCCTTCTTCAGTCCAGTCCTCATCCAGCACGATACACAACTGATATCCTCCCACAATCGAAGTTATATAAACACTTCTTGTGGTCTCAATTTGTACAAGCACCTGTGACCATACTTCATTTCCTATTCAAGATTAATTGGACATCAAATCAGAGGAATTTCTTTATACATGATACACATGGATTGTACCCCACAAATCATAAATACAAAATTACCTTGGACACGTTTTCTTTAATTTCAAGAAAATTTTATTAAAAGTTTTGAAGAACAAGAAGATATATCATCAACAAGATAATTAAAGACATTCCATACACATGTAACATCTAGCTTTTCCTTAATAGCACTTGATTCACAAAGTTGTCTAAATTTGCAGATGAAGAACCATGTGGACTAGCGGCTTCCTCTGCCAGTTTCTTCCACTCCATGACCTTGTTTTTCATTTGCTTACCTTTCACTCCCCCCATTAACTCTTTAACAAGCTTTTCCACTTGGTCTCTCTTGGCATATTTACTAATATCCATGCCAATTCCCCACAAATTACAAACACAATGACAATTTGTTTGCTGGTCAGTAAAGATTGGCAAGGAGAGCATTGGCACACCTGCGCATAGGCTCTCAATGGTTGAATTCCAACCACTATGTGTTAAAAATCCTCCAACTGATGAGTGCTCAAGGACTTGCTCTTGTGGGCACCAACTTGCTATAAGGCCTCTTTCCTTAGTTTCAGCCTCAAACTCGGGTGGAAAAATCGCCGATTTACCAACAACCAGATCAGGCCTAATTACCCAAAAGAAGGGAAGGTAGCTGTTTGCCAGTCCCCAACCAAACTCCACAAGTTGTTCCGGTGTTAAGACCGCTAAACTTCCAAAATTGACATAAACAACAGAGTTTGGTTCTTTAGAATTTAGCCATTTGAGCCACTCAGTTTCTTCTTTCCACAGACTATATCCCATAGCCTTCAAAGGGTGCTCTGGTATCTGGTTAAGAAGTAACTGGAGAGGGCCAATTGCATAAACAAGTGGAAACATGGACGAGAGAGCATCCAAAACTTCTTTCTCCAATGCATCAAAACTATGAAGAACAATTGCTGAACCTTTACCAAATCTTTGGATTGCTTCCAAGCAGAAGATCCAAGATGCTTCGGCGGGGTCTGTGGTAATAAAGTCGTTTGGGAGATCCCTTAACCTGATACCTTTCATAGCTGGAACCCAATCTATGACATTGTCAAGAAAGCCATTTGTTAACCAGGTTTCATCTGCAAATACCCTAGTCAAGAAAAGTAAGCTTTTATGTACCTCACATGTCCTCAACAATAATGAGAAAAAAGACAGGTTTCCAATACAATTTGTAAGTTGTTGAAATAAAGTTTGATTTGGTACTTGTAGTTTTAATAAGTTTGGTTTGGTATCTATTATTATAGTTCATGTACTGAGTTAGGACACGTTAAAATTCCAGTACCAAAAAACAAAAGTAAAAAAGCCAAGAAAATCTTCATTTGTTTACCTTTGAGAGGGGCAAGTCCTTTTTCCACCAAAGTGGGAAACTGTGTAAATCCCATGAAGCTGCTTGCAGAAATAGTGAAGAAGAGCACCACAGGAATTCCGATTTCTTCAGCTGCTGTGATGGTGAAGGCCATCCAACCATCCGAAACGATGTGAGACACTGGAGGAATGTTGGCCGTGTGATTGAGTTTCTTGAGGAGGCCATGAAATGGAGCTAGAAATGTTTTTCTGACTGAGTCAGCAAGCAAAAGAAGGTCTTGAGTGGTATCTTCATCTGAGCTGTGAAGGCTATCTGGTATGGTTTCGAATCGAAAACCAGGCAAGCCGTCGAGGGAATTGGACCCTAGAGACTTAAGGAACCTCTTGTGATTGAACTCTGTGTTGACAAAGGTTATATGAACACCTCTATGGTGGAGGAGTTTTGCAAACTTAAGCATTCCTTTTATATGGCTTTGAACTGGAAAAGGAATGCAAACAACATGAGGCCTGTTAGCTACTTCCTTAGAACCCATCTCTCAATATTTGTTGTGTGTATTTTTCAGTGTTTTCAAAGGCATGCCTTCGCGCGCGTCAGAGCGAGGCAGCAAGAGATCTCCTGAGGCGGTCGGCTGTTCCGCAAGCTTCACGTTTAGCGGGGTGAGGCGTGAGAAGGCGTGATGAAGCGCTGCAAGGCCTGGCCAGACGGACGAGGCGGCGCGAGGAAGAAGAATAAGAGTCCTCGTGAATTTTTTTATTAGGGTTGTAAAACGACGCCGTTTCACTTTCAGCCTTTTTAAAACTGAGCTTACTTAAATGAAACGTACGTTCAGTGTTGTTTCTTTCTTTTTTTTCTAATGAAATTAATATATATTATAAATTAATATATTAAGTTAATAATACATGCTAATTAATATATAAAGTTAATAATACATGCTATGTATTGTATATATCAATTGCAGATTCGATTCTACTTACCCTTTTTTTTTCTTTCCAAATTAATATGTTAACACATGGACCTATATATAAATATATATTGTATAGTACAATCCTAATTTCTACATTTATTCAATAATTCCCATCAATTTCAAGAATTCTCTCCTTTTGGTATGAATAAATATTTTATGTTTTGGGATCGATTATGATGCCTAAATGACAATTAGTACTTATATTTGATTATATATTTAAAAGTTTGTTAAGAATTAGTAGTACAATTTAATTGTGTTGTATTATTTATAAATTTTTCCTATTAAAATAAATTAATGTTCGAAAGGCTTACGCCTCACTACTTCAAGGCTTACGCCTCACTACTTCAAGACTTACGCCTCACATAGCGTGACTAAAACGTTGTGCATCTACGCCTTGCCTTTCAAAATATTGATATTTTTCTATGTGTTTTGCACTCTCAGAAATGCACTGTTTTTATAGGGTTGGCAACAATTTTTTGTTTTGTTTTTGTGTGGCTGTATTAGGGGTGGTTGCGGTTCAGTAACTGCGAATTTTTACTCAAACCGCAAACTGACAAACTATTTGCGGTTTGGTGATTTTCAAAACCGCAAACCGATCGCGTTTTGCGGTTTAAAACTGCAAGTTCTCAAGCATTCACAAAAATATAAATTTACAACCTAAATAAATAAATACACAACCTCAATTCCTCAAGCATATATAAATTCACAATCTCCTCAACTTCTCAAGCATTCGCAATCTAAGAAAATTAAAGTTACAATTCCAAGCATTCCAATTAAAGTTAAACTTCTCAAGCATTCCAATTTCAAATCCTTTAAAGTTACAAACCAAAAGGAAAATGTAAAGCAAAATGAATTAAAATTACAACGAAAAAGAAAAATCCAATTCAAAGTGAATTAAAGTTACAAACTAAAAGGAAAATGCAATGCACCAATGTTACAAACTAAAGTTACAAACTTAAGTGTTGGTGGTGAGTGGATTTGAAGAACCCCATTGTGTTGTTTGAGCACCAATGTTATCTACAAATAAAACAACATAGTTGAGTACATTTTATTATAAGAAGAAGCATAAATAACATTAGCATAAATAAACTAATTACTTACAAGTTGTCATATATTCCATTTCCTTGTAGAATTCAACCTCATCATCCGTGCGACTATACTTTGCGGTTTGCGGTAACCGTAAGTTTTGAAAATCAAATACTGTAATTGCAACCGCAAATGCGGTTCGGTTTACCGCAATTGCGATTTCATTGCGGTAAATTGTCAGTTGATTTTTGTGGTTTTAGGGTTTAAAATGCCACCCCTAGGCTGTATCATGACAATGAGTCCTACAAAGGAGTCAGGCATATGCAATTGAAAATGAAAATTATTAAAATGATTGGTGCAGTTTTATATTACATTGTTATATATGATATATTTTTGTATGGCTGTTTAAATTAAAAGACAAATAGGAGAGGGTTTATGCAACAAGCAGTCTGAGACAGAGCTGTCTTTGCTATGGAGACGGAGCTTTTGTTGCAGTAACTTTGGAGGGTGTGGATCCAAGGTGACACCAAATTTGTGTATCAAATTAGTGTCCAAACGAAAACAGTCAATCTTTGTAGTGTCCAAATGATTGGAACTATGTCTAGTCCAATCCCATAGGCTAGTATCACCCTTGAGACTTATTTCCTCTAATATGTGGAATTGTTGTCAAATTTAATGAATTCAGTCTCATTTTATAGCATGGGACATGAATAACATTACTTGAGGGATCCCTCAATCAAAACGGGACTCAATACATATAATTATTTATCATGATGTTAATGTCCTGTCTTTGGTTCGAATGTGCCTGCCAGTTGCCTAACCCCCTTCTTCAGTCCTTCAGTCCTCGTCCAGCATGATACACAACTGATATCCTCCCACAATCGAAGTTATATAAACACTTCTTGTGGTCTTAATTTGTACAAGCACCTGTACCAATCTTCATTTCCTATTCAGAGGAATTTCTTTATACATACACATATAGATTGTACCCCACAAATCATAAATACAAAATTACCTTGGACACGTTTTCTCGTAATTTAATTTTGAAGAAAATTTTATTAAAAGTTTTGAAGAACAAGAAGATATATCATCGACAAGATAATTAAAGACATTCCATACACATGTAACATCTAGCTTTTCCTTAATAGCACTTGATTCACAAAGTTGTCTAAATTTGCAGATGAAGAACCATGTGGACTAGCGGCTTCTTCTGCCAGTTTCTTCCACTCCATGACCTTGTTTTTCAATTGCTTACCTTTCTCTCCCCCCATCAACTCTTTAACAAGCTTTTCCACTTGGTCTCTCTTGGCATCTTTACTAATCTCCATGCCAATTCCCCACAAATTACAAACACAATGACAATTTGTTTGCTGGTCGGTAAAGATTGGCAAGGAGAGCATAGGCACACCTGCACATAGGCTCTCAATGGTTGAATTCCAACCACTATGTGTTAAAAATCCTCCAACTGATGAGTGCTCAAGGACTTGCTCTTGTGGGCACCAACTTGCTATAAGGCCTCTTTCCTTAGTTTCAGCCTCAAACTCGGGTGGAAAAATCGCCGATTTACCAACAACCAGATCAGGCCTAATTACCCAAAAGAAGGGAAGGTAGCTGTTTGCCAGTCCCCAACCAAACTCCACAAGTTGTTCTGGTGTTAAGACCGCTAAACTTCCAAAATTGACATAAACAACAGAGTTTGGTTCTTTAGAATTTAGCCATTTGAGCCACTCAGTTTCTTCTTTCCACAGACTATATCCCATAGCCTTCAAAGGGTGCTCTGGTATCTGGTTAAGAAGTAATTGGAGAGGGCCAATTGCATAAACAAGTGGAAACATGGATGAGAGAGCATCCAAAACTTCTTTCTCCAATGCATCAAAACTATGAAGAACAATTGCTGAACCTTTACCAAATCTTCGGATTGCTTCCAAGCAGAAGATCCAAGATGCTTCGGCGGGGTCTGTGGTAATAAAGTTGTTTGGGAGATCCCTTAACCTGATACCTTTCATAGCTGGAACCCAATCTATGACATTGTCAAGAAAGCCATTTGTTAACCAGGTTTCATCTGCAAATAACCCAAGTCAAGAAAAGTAAGCTTTTATATGTACGTCACATGTCCTCAACAATAATGAGAAAAAAGACAGGTTTCCAATACAATTTGTAAGTTGTTGAAATAAAGTTTGATTTGGTACTTATACTTGTCGTTTTAATAAAGTTTGTTGAAATAATCTCTCTTTTGTTTTACCTTTGAGTGGAGCTAGTCCCTTTTCCAGCAAAGTAGGAAACTGCTTATATCCCATGACGCCGCTTGCAGACATAGTGAAGAAGAGTACCACAGGGATTCCAATTTCTTCAGCTGCTGTGATGGTGAAGCTCATCCAACCATCCGAAACCATGTGAGACAACGGAGGAATATTGGCCGTGCCATTGAGTTTCATGAGGAGGTCACGAAATGGAGCCGGTAAATTATTCGTGACTGACTCACCAAGCAAACGAATGTATTGAGTGGTATCTTCTTCTGAGCTTGGAATGCCATCTGGTATGGTTTCGAATCGAAAACTAGGCAAGCCGTCGAGGGAGTTGGGTCCAAGAGACTTGAGGAAGCGCTTGTGAATGTACTCTGTGTTGACAAAGGTGATATGGAAACCTCTGTGGTGGAGGAGTTTTGCAAACTTAAGCATCCCCTTTACATGGCTTTGAACCGGAAGAGGAATGCAAACAACATGAGGCTTGCTGCTGGCTACTGCTTCCTTGGAACTCATCTCTACTCTAAATATTTGTTTTGTGTATTTTGTGTCTGTGTTTTATAGGGTTGGCAACATCTTTTGTGTGGGTTTTACTCAAAACGAAAGATTGTTTTTGTGTGGAGATTATTTATTTTTGTGTGGCTATCATGAGAATGACTGCTATATGCAATTGAAAATGAAAATTGTTCTCATCATGAGGTTTTTTCTCTGCCGAGCCGCCGAAGACTAATTTAGATAACGATAAGAATGGCATCTCGAGGCATAGATTTGTTCCGTGTAGTCTTTTGAGAGTTTGGGCTTTACCCCCTATATTATCAAAAAATTAAAATAAATAAATTCTTTTTCAAGGCTGTCTACATTAAAATGGGGGAGTCTGAGACGGAGCTGTCTTTGTTATGAGCTTCACAATGTGTTTCTTAAATAAAATAAATACAAATTTATAAATAAACCCAATCCTAGACATGTATTTATAAAAAAACCCAAACACTATTTAAACATAGAAACACACCCAAAATCAATCCCAAAGTCAACTTTTTGGGTGTGTTTATAAATGGATTTTGAGTGTGTGTAATGATGGGTTTTGGGTGTGTTTATATATTTAAATAGTACTTGGGTTTTTTTATAATTTCAACCCCCATTTTGGGTGTTTTAGTGAAACTCCCTTGAATCCGACAAATCATTACAAATTTACTTTGTACATGTTTTTCTTGTTATTTATATTCAAGAAAATCGTGTCAACATTTATGAATAACAAGAAGATATATCATCGACAAGACAATTGAAGACATAATTCCCATAGATAAATTAACATCTAGTTTTTTCTTAATAGCACTTGATTCACAAAATTGTCCAAGTTTAAGGATGAAGAACCATGTGGACTAGTGGCTTCTTCTGCTAGTTTCTTCCACTGCATGACCTTGTTTTTCATTTGCTTACCTTTCTCTCCCTCCATTAACTCTTTAACAAGCTTCTCCACTTGCGCTCTCTTGACTTCTTTACCAATCTCCATTCCAATATCCCATTCATTACAAGCATAGTAACAGTTTGTTGGCTGGTCAGTAGAGCATGGCCAGCACAGCATAGGCACACCTGCACATAGACTCTCAATGGTTGAACTCCAACCGCTATGTGTCAAAAACCCTCCAACTGATGAATGCTTAAGGACTTGCTCTTGTGGACACCAACTTGCTATTAGACCTCTTTCCTTAGTTTCATCCACAAACTCAGGCGGCAAAATTGCCGACTCGCCAACAACGAGATCAGGTCTAATTACCCAAAAGAATGGAAGCTTGCTATTTGCTAGTCCCCAACCAAACTCGACAAGCTGTTTGGGTGTTATGACAGCTGAGCTGCCAAAACTCACATAAACAACTGAATTTGGGGCCTTAGAATCTAGCCATTTGAGGCTCCGAGTTTCTTCTTTCCATAGGCTATATCCCATGGCATTCAAAGGGTTCTCTGGTATCTGATTGAGAAGTAATTGGAGAGGGCCAATTGCATAAACAAGTGGAAGTATGGATGAGAGAGCATCCAAAACATCTTGCTCCAATGCATCAAAAGTATGAAGAACAACTGCTGAAGCTTTATCAACCCTTCTCATTACTTCCAAGCAGTAATTCCAGAAGATGTCATTTGGATTTGTGGTCATAAAGTTGTGTGGGAGATCCCGTAACCGGATGCCGTTCATTCCTGGAATCCAATCTATGACCTTGTCCAGAAAGCCATTTGTTAAGCAGCTCTCATCTACAATAATGCCCCACAGGTGAAGGAAAATTTTATTGTTAAGAATCTAAAATTTAATAAAGCTAACAAAAAATAGGTAAATGTTTGAGTAATATTCACCTTTGAGTGGAGCAAGTCCTTTTTCAAGCAAAGTGGGATATTGTTTATACCCCATGAAGCTGCTTGCAGAAATACTAAACATAAGTACTACAGGGATTCCAATTTCTTCTGCTGCTGTGATCGCGAACGTCATCAAACCATCCGAAAGGATGTGAGTCACCGGAGGATTGTCAGGAGTTGCTGTGTGATTCAGTTTTCTGAGGAGGTCTCGAAATGGAGCAAGTAAATTATTTATGATTGACTCACCAAGCAAGAGCTGGTCTTGAGTGGTATCTTCATCTGAACTTGGAAGGCCATCTGGTATGGTTTCGAATCTGAAACTAGGCAAGCCGTCGAGGGAGTTGGGTCCTAGAGACTTGAGGAACCTCTTGTGATTGAACTCTGTGTTGACAAAGGTGATATGCAAACCTCTATGGTGGAGGAGTTTTGCTAATTTGAGCATTGCCTTTGTATGGCTTTGAGCTGGAACTGGAATGCAAACAACATGTACTGGCTTAATGGCTACTTCATTGGAACCCATTTTAGTTGTGTGTTTTTGTGTGTCTCCCACAAATGCATTGGTTTATAAGGTTGAAGAAAATTATAAAAATGGCTTCTGCAATGCAAAATGTTGTCTTGTATCACAAAAAAAGAAAGAAAAAGGAAATGTTGTCTATCCCATCGCTTCTATTAAAAAAAAAAAAAAAAAAAAAAAAAAAAAAAAAAAAGAACCAACCACTCCAACTCCGTCTCCTCCGTCCCCTTTCTTATTTTAAGTTTAGAGTTTGTAAATTCAAGTTAAATAATGCTAAAGAAGCCAAATTTATGTAACAACAAGTCTCTGTTGAAGAACCAATTGTCACATAATTCATCTTAATTATTATTTTATTATCAATTAGTGAGGAGAATCTAACTTGACATAAATTTTAATTTAAAGTTGATATGTTTTGAAACCAGTGTCTTATAGTGGCAAGTGGCATTAGCACATGTCATCCTTGGCCTGAATTATTCAGATTCTATCTCAATGTTGTTTTTTTGTAGGATGGTCCAAAATAATAGTCCAATGGCATCTCTTATTATAAACATCGGGTGAGATAATAGATGTGCTATAAAATGAAGAAATAAGAAAATCATAGTATTCTAATAACACAGTTTGGGTCACTTTTGTTGGGTTCTCCAATGATACACCATTCCATATCACATGTGCTTTTCCCTAGTTAAAGAACAAATGAAGGTAATTGAAAATTGGAGAAATCAACTAGTGAAATAACAAAACTAAACTATTGAAAGAACGTTTTGCGGAGGATATTGAGGAACAATTATGTTAAATTAGGTGTGAGGTTTTATCATAAAAAGTCTCGGTTATATTAGTAAAGAAACCACTCATTATATAGTGTATTTATTTAGTCAATGTTATGATATGAAGCTTTATATTCTTCAACAAATTAGATCGACGTGCACTCAAAGACAGAAAACTACATTCACAACAAGTTTGGGCTCCAAGCTACGATTTGGGCCAATGACTTGCCCGTTTAGCTTTTCTTTTTTTCTTTTAAAAAAAAAAATACAAGTGATAGGTTAAACTACAAAGAGAAGTGGATTTCTCACACACACTACCAAGGTGCCATGAAGGTTCAAACCTGAGACTACTAATTTGCAAGTCAATGCCCACTTTCATTGAGCTAGACCCCTTTGACTCCCGTCTAGCTTTTTCTTAATAGCACTTGATGCACAAAATTGTCCAAGTTTGAGGATGAGGAACCATACGGGCTAGAGGCTTCTTCTGCTTGTTTCTTCCACTCCATAACCTTGTTTTTCATTTGCTTACCTTTCTCTCCCTCCATTAACTCTTTAACAAGCTTCTCCACATGCTCCCTCTTAACATCATTACAAATCTCCATGCCAATACCCCATTCATGACAAGTATAGTAACAGTTTGTTGGCTGGTCACTAGAGCATGGCCAACACAACATAGGCACACCTGCACATAGACTCTCAATGGTTGAATTCCAACCGCTATGTGTTAAAAATCCTCCAACTGATGAGTGCTCAAGGACTTGTTCTTGTGGGCACCAACTTTCTATTAGTCCTCTTTCCTTAGTTTCATTCACAAACTCAGGTGGCAAAATTGATGATGCACCAACAACCAGGTCAGGCCTAATGACCCAAAAGAAGGGAAGCTTGCTATTTGCTAGTCCCCAACCAAACTCAACAAGCTGTTCGGGTGATATGAATGCTAAACTGCCAAAATTCACATAAATAACTGAATTTGGGGCCTTGGAATCTAGCCATTTGAGGCAGTCAGATTCTTCTTTCCATAGACTATATCCCATAATCTTCAAAGGGTGCTCTGGTATCTGATTAAGAAGTAATGGGAGAGGGCCAATTGCATAAACAAGTGGAAACATGGATGAGAGAGCATCCAAAACATCTTGCTCCAGTGCATCAAAACTATGAAGAACAACTGCTGAAGCTTTATCAAATCTTCCAATTGCTTCCAAGCAGTTTGTCCAGGATTTCTCATTGGGATTTGTGGTTCTCAAGTTGTGTGGGAGATCCCTTAGACGAATACCTTTCATTCCCGGAATCCAATCTATCACCTTGTCCAGAAAGCCATTTGTTAAACAACTCTCATCTGCAAATACCCAAGTGAAGAAAAATTTCATCTGTTTAAAAACAGGAGAATTAATCTAAAAATTAAGAGGTAAGGGAGGCCTTACTATTAACATTCCAAAAAAGGTTGGAATTAAGCTACTCATATTTGAGTAATTTCACCTTTGAGTGGGGCAAGTCCTTTTTCAACCAAAGCTGGAAATTGTATGTAGCCCATCAAGCTGCATGCAGAAATAGTAAAGAAGAGTACAACAGGGATTCCAAGTTCTTCAGCTGCTGCCAGGGGGAACAACGTCATCCAACCATCCGAAAAGATGTGTGTCACTGAAGGATCGCCTGCCGTGTGATTGAGTTTTGTGATGAGGTCCCGAAATGGAGCCAAGAAATTCTTTTTGATGGACTCTCCAAGCAATAACATGTCTTGTTGGGTATCTTCATCTGAACTTTGAAGGCCATCTGGTATGGTTTTGAATCGGAAACTAGGCACACCGTCGAGGGAGTTTGGCCCTAGAGACTTGAGAAGCCTTTTGTGATTGAACTCTGTGTTGACAAAGGTTACGTGAACACCTCTATGGTGGAGGAGCTTTGCTAGTTGAAGCATTGCCTTCATATGGCTTTGAACTGGAAAAGGCATGCAAACAACATGAGGCTTATTGGCTGCTTCCTTGGAGCTACTCATTTTGGACTTAGATTGTGCGTGTGTTTGTTAGTGGATCTGTATGTGTCTGCACTTTGCACAAATGCGTTCTTTTTATATAAATTTATAAATAAACCCAATTCTAGACATGTATTTATAAAAAAACCCAAACACTATTTAAACATAGAAACACACCCAAAATCAACTCTAAAGTCAACTTTTTTGGTGTGTTTATAAATGGGTTTTGAGTGTGTGTAATGATGGATTTTGGGTGTGTTTATATGTTTAAATAGTGTTTGAGTTTTTTTACAATTTCAACTCCCATTTTGGGTGTTTTAGTGAAACTCCCTTGTTTTTATAGCCCTTATTGGACACTTCAATAAAAGTAAGTTTAATTAAATAAAATTTTCGCTTTCCTCATGTGCAATTCTTTATATATATATATATATATATATATATTTATTTATAAGTTTGAAGCCAGCATATATATAAAAAGTTCACAAAAATAATAGTCGTACTGTATTTGTATACCACCCTATGTACCATCTTTAAAGAGGTGGTACACAAAGTGATATGCGAATGTGGTATGCGTAACATTGCTCATAGGTTTAATATTAATGCGAGGTCAAATTTGTATACTAAATTTAACTCACATATCACATTGCAAGTACCCCTATCGTCAATTTTTATTGAATATTACTAGGGTCCCATACTTTGGTGAATAAATTTGGAGTCTCTTGCATTATTGATATTAATTTAACAATTTAATAATAATTAAAAAAAATAGTTTAACAACCATACCTTTGTTTATATATTTTCAAAACAGTGATTACGACGGGCTTATATAGTGGCAAATGGCAAGTGACAATGGCACAAGTCATCTTTGGCCTGTTCTATTCTATCTCAATGTTGGATGGTGACAGCATCAATAGCATCCCTTATTATTTTTAAAAGCTATAATTGTCGTTTTTATGTTTTATAGTGTGCGTAGACAAACGAGGAGAACTATAATTATTTCTAAATAACAATTAATGGATCACTTCTATTGGGTTCTCAAATGCTTTTCCTAGCTGAAGAACAAACTGACACTAGGTCAATTAAAAGTGGAGGAAATGAACTGTAAAAAGTAACAAAACTAACTAGCTTATTATGTACTGCATATGCGTTCCATATAAGAAGCTTTTGTTTGGCATCTTGTTCAGCAATCCGACCTTAGCTCAGTTGGTAGAGCGGAGGACTGTAGTCGGGTAAACCAATAGCCATCCTTAGGTCGCTGGTTCGAATCCGGCAGGTCGGATATTTTTTGCCAATTTATTTATTTATATTTTTTTCGCAAACTTCTTTTTTATTTATATTTTTTTCGCAAACTTCTTTTTTAATTATATTTTTTTCGCAAACTTCTCCAAAGATCCATTTCTTTTGCCTTAAAA